GGTAAGTTGGAGGGATTTGGGCACCTGGGATGCATAAGGTGGCTCTTACACAATAGACTGTGGAGAAGAGCCCCATGAGCTGCCTTGATATAGCTGGTTCTGTGTCTTTCTCAGCTTTCTCTGTCCTGCCTGCAAGACTGCCTCCTTTTCCCCATCCCTGCACGCATGCAGCTCTAGGGACATGTGTGGGTCCTTCTGTGAGGCCTTGCAGAGCCCCTTGCTGTTCTCTCCTGAGCCGGATACTTCCCTGACATGCAGGAGCCTTGGTGTCCCCTGTGCTATGCCTTTTTCTGGATTCAGCAGTGCTGTGAGTGGGAGCACCTGGCCACAGTCATGGGATATAACCTGGGGTGTGGGTGTTGTGCTGTGCAGTGGAAGAGGGTGATGTGATGGATTGACCCTCCTCTTCTCACCTAGTAACTCAGCCCCTGGTACAAAGACCAGAAAGCAGGAGAAAAGCTAGCGTGTTAGGCTTTCTCTGCTACTGAAATGAAGGACAAAAATTTGGTTTTAAGCTCCTTGGCAGGACACCTGGAGCTCTGTGAATACAGTGCTGGCTTTAAACTGTATTCCTTCTTCCTTTTAGCTGCTTATATGGCTAAGTGGACTGTTGGGAGCAGACAGCAACTGCGTTTGTCAGGTTAAACTCTTGTTCTTGAATTAGGATTTTACAGTCCACTACTAAAAGTGCTGTGTGAAACGGCTTCTGGGACAGCCCATGACAGCGTGTGAGTCGTCTTTGAGGCCCGGTGTCCATTTTACGTGACTGAGGCCTTTTCCATGCAGGTAGGCTGCAGCACTTTAACTGGTAAATAGAAGTGAAGGGTGACAAGCTCTTCACTGAAAGTTGGAGAAAGTAATGTACCTGCAGTTGGCATCAAAACAGCACGCTGGGCAAGTACAAGCATGCAGCAACGCTGGCTGCATTTAAAATGCTGGGGTACCACTCCGAGCTCAGCTCAGAGATGAGAGGTCCTAAGACATGCGTATATTAGAGGCACTTAGTGATCTAGTTGGTAACGTATCTTGATTACAGTCACTTTGAAATATGGGAGACCTTCCTATTTCACAGTTGCACAGCACCTCATGCAGTGGTGTTTGTGCTACCAGACACCAACACTGTCCAAAAAAAATTAATAAAATGGTTCTGTGTTTTGTAAGTCTATTTAATAGCATAGTAATATAATGAAATCTTTATGGGGGAATGAGAGACAGTGGTTTTGTGTGTGAATTACAGGGTCTGCGAGTGGGCGAGACACTAACTACTTGTTTTATTGCTGACAATATATTTATTTTTGTGTTTATTCCTGGATTAGAACGGGTGAATAGCATCCCAGTAAACAGTCAGGCAAATAGTTACTTATCAAGTATTTAAAAGTGAAAGGTCTTGTAATTTTCCTTAGTAATGACTGTGATTTCTTCCAGCTGGATTAATGGCTCCCACTTCTACCCATGAAGAGCAAGAAGTGTTTAGGTTTCTACATGGAGAGTTATTGTCTCCTGTAATAACGTAGACCAGAGTGGTTCTCCCCGCTTCTTGGCCTGAGATCTGAGGAAGGATGAAATGTGCATAACCTGAGTTAATACCTTGTAAAGCCTTTTAATATTCTTTCTTTTGTCGCTCCTGTTGGAGTGATGCAGGAGTCGCTGCTGGCATCAGCCCAGCAGCAGCCTGTCTGAGTTGCTTTTGTTTCATTTTATGAGGCAATCAGTGGGTCTTGTGATGGAATTGCCCTGAAAGGTCAGTTTTAATTAGGTTTTTGGCACATTCCTCTGTCCCCAGCTGTGCAGTCCTGGTGGAACAGGTTGCACACAGCTTTGCAGCTCGGGGTTGCTGCGGGGAACAATTTCAGAAATATATTCTGAGCAGCTGCTGATAGGCCGAAGGGAAAAGAAAACTGTGAACCAAGTGTTTTGGTCTGTACGCAGCTCTTGCTGCTGGTACCCTGAGATGGGGGAGGAAGCAAGCATCAAAGCATAAGTAATCTCTCCGTAGCAACCTCTTCTGTGCCTCT